TCTAAGGGACTGGTCTGGATGTGGTGTATTCTTATAGGGATTGCATATTTGGGAAGGATTTTAAATCCCCTTCATTGGTGAAGTTTAGCTTGATAGGATAGGAAATACTTAGTTGTAATTGCTTTCCTTGAAGAATATTACAGATGGGACCCCAGTCTGTTCTAGCTTGTATGGTTTTTTACTGGGAAGTGTGTTACAATTCTGATGGGTCTCTCTTAGCAGGTAGTCAGTCCCTTCTCTCTAGCTTAGCTACCTATAGGATTTTTTTTTTCTTTCATGCTCGCATAGGGGAGATGGAATTTTTGTGTGTCTTGGAGATGGTTGTCTTGTGTAATGTCTCACAGGAGTCTTCTGCACAGCTGCCTCTCTAGCAAGATATGTAAATTTTGTTGGATGACATCTTGGATGTTTGTTTCAGGGCATTTTCAGTTTCCTTTTCTCTCTCAGGGATGCTAGTCAACTGTAGATTTGATCTCTTTATATAACTTAGATCTCTTATAAGTTTTGCTTATTCTTACTAAGGCTTTTCTCCTTTTTTTTAAATCAGACTGGGTTAGTTCAATGATTTGAGCCTCAAACTCTTGAGATTCTTTCCCCTTCCTGGTTAATTTTGCTGTTGAGGCTTTTTTGTTGTTGTTTTGAAGTTCTAGGAAGTAATTTTTAATTTCTAGAAGTTCAGATTAATCCTTTCATATAATGGCCAGCTCAGCTTTCAGTTCCTGCACTGTTTTCATGACCTGAGTGATCTGTGTCCACCTTTTTGTGATTCTTGTTGAGTGGCTTTGCTATCCATAATCTGAATTCTGTGTCTGTCATTAGGGACAGGTCATTCTGAATGGATTCCATTGCTTGAGATCTGGTGAGCCCTTTTGTGGGTATTGACCTGTTAAGGCTTTGGGGATTGCTGGTGTTTTACACTGATTCTTCTTCATCTGAGAGGGTAGATTCCTCTCTTTTTATTTTTTGTGTTGTTTTTTAATTAGATAAAGTTGCTACTGTTTGGGTGACCATTTGTGAGTTTTTTTTTTTTTCTTTGTTTTGTTTTGCCTATTCTCTTTCCTCTGGCCCCCTTGTGGAGGGGGAAGGAAGCAGTGGCAGGAAGGTTGATAATTTGGGACAAAATCATCTGAAGCTGCTTCACCGGTAGTCTGGCAGAAACAAGATGAGACCTCTCCTCTGTTTCAGAGTCTTCCCCTCCCTCTGGAATGGATGACTGGGGTCCTAGCTGGAGCGCCAGCGTCTTCCTCCCCAGACTAGTTGTCATGTCAGCAAGATTTCTAGGCAGCCCTGTGGCCTGCAGCCCTATGGTAGCTTCCTACTGGCAAGACCACCCCATTTACCCAGGAATAGAAGGGAAACCATGGGGGGTTATTATTTGTTCCTCTGCCCTCAGGTAATCCAGGCCACTGCCACTGCCACGCTGTGCAGAGGCTCTCTGCTCTTAGATTCTGCCTGGTTCTGTAGGAGGGGCTTTGGCAACCATGATGGCCCCTTGAGGGTAAGTACATCTGTAGCCAAGAGTTGCTGGTGTGAGAATTGGTTGCATTACCCTTGCTGGGTGCTGGGGAAGGAGGGAGAGGCAAGTGCCTGTGTGGCACAGACCACCCCCTAGAGTATTTCACCCCCACTGAACCACTCCATGAGGGTGTTGGTGGCCATGGTGTGGTCTCCTGAGAACTAGGGTTCCCAGGACTCCACATGGGACCTGCCAGTACCTCTGTCTCTACTTAGGGCAGCCCTCAGCACCTGCCAGTGTGAGAGTGGCGTGAGGGTGGAGGAGTTTCTGAGCTGTCTCTCCCATGGCTGAGACTGCAGAGGTTTACATGAGTTATGTAAAGAAGAAAAGCTGTCGTTTTTACTCACCCCTTCTGTCTCTAAAGGTGCTCTCCTGTTCTCATGTCAGGGCTACTTCTAGGGATATCTGGGGCTTCGAACTCTCTGTCCTCTGCATCCCCAGATGACCATCTGATAGGCCTCAGTTTGAGTTTTCAGGTTGGTCCTCAATGCCCTAGGTCCATTCCTCCATATAGGTTTCTTTGCAGAGAGCTGCAGTGGTGTGACGTCTTCAGTAAGCCGTCTTGCCTCCTCTGTGTTAATTTTTTTTACACACTTCCTGTCCCCGTTGCCCATTGGTTTGAAAATTATACATTTTTAAATTCTTTTATAAGTTACAATTGTTTTATGGCTATTTAACATCGTTTCTTTTTACTATAACCAACTCTCCTCCAAAACAATACATGGACCTAAGGATATTTGAATAATAGTTTGTGCATTTGCTTTCACTTTTTCTCACTCTCTCTCACACACATATAGACACACACCAATCTTTCATGATATTGTGATATGCTATTTTAGTTCTACCATGTTTCTTAATATCCCCCAAATAAGTCATTATTATTGTTCTTTCAGTCAATGCTTATTCTTATTTACCCATATGTTTACAATATATTTGCTCATTATTACTTCTTGCACTCATTCTTTCCTTCTAATCTCATGTTTCTTTCCTCAAATTACAGTACTTCCTTCAGCAAAGGTCTATGGGTTAATTTTTTCAATCTGTCTGAAAATGACTTTATTTTTCCCTCAATCTTTAGAATTAGTTGAGCTGAGTATATAATTGTAGGTTGACAGTTATTTTCTCTTGGTAACTTTAAAAATAACTTTTGTCTTTTTTCATTGAAAAGTCTATTTTCATTCCAGTTGTTACTCTATATAAGAATGTATTTTGTTGTTGGTTCATTTTTTTAAGGTCTTTTTATTCCTCTTTGTTTTTAGTTTCACTATTATATATATGGATATGGATTTTTTTTTCTGGCTTTGGTTTAGTTGCAGCTTTTTAATAAAATTAGTTGTACCTTTTATTAGTTCTGGAAAATTCTCAGATATTATTTCTTGGCTAGTGCCACTTCTTAAATTCACTTTACTATCTCCCTCAACTCTTATAACATATTTTTTGGATCTTCTTCTTGTAGTCCCCATGTTTCTTAATCTTTTAATCATAGTTTCCATATATTTTTCTTTATGTGCTGTGATCTTTCAGTTCATTCCTTTTTTTTTTTTTCTTTATCGAGACACTGTCTCACTCTGTTGGTTAGGTTGGAGTACAGTGGTGCAGTCATACCTCATTGTAAACTCAAATCCTGGTAAGTGATCCTCCCGGTTCAGCCTAACATGTAACTAGGACTACAGTTATATGCCACCATAACAAGCTAATTTATTTTTATTTTGTTTTGTAGAGAAGGAGTCTTGCTATGTTGCACAGTTTAGAATTGGGCATCGGTAGTGTAAAGTCATACTCCAAAACTGGATTAAGTCAGACCTAAGGTTTCAGTTTTGATTAGAAGAAAAAAATTTTTTTTCTATCTGTACACCAGATGAAGATAAATTTTTATAATCCCTCTGTGAGGTTGAGTGGATTTTTTCCCTTTAGAACTTCCTTTAACTTATTGTATAGCCTGCAAGAATCCTAGGTGATATAGCGGTCTCAGTTCTAACTCTCCATTAGTCCTAAATTCTTGTCCCCTATCTGTGCTTGAATGTTGAAACATAAGCCATTCACTGTTACTGGGTCTTCCTGCCTCTAACCTTGGGTTCAGACCTGCTCATTTGCTTCCTGCTTTGACTTTATTTTCTCTGTTTTCGGCAGTGAGAATTTCTGTTTCTTCCTTGAAAGCTCAATAATGGATTGTAAGAATTTTGTTGTTGTTGTTGTTGTATTTTATCCACAAGGTTTTTCTCTTAGCTTAATTAACTATCTTACTAGAACCTGACACATTCAGAGTAATTCTTTCAAAACACAAATCTGATTATATCACCTTCCTATTTAAGATATTTCAGTGGGTTTTCATTACATCTGGGTGAAGACCAAAATTTCAACATGGTTTACTAGGCCCTATTTGTAAGTTTTATGTTTCTTTTCAATTACATCTCCTGTCACTTTTTTTTTTCTGAACTCTGGCCATACTTGCCTTCTGTCAGTTCTTGAAGTATATCATTCTTCCTGCCTCCACAAGGCCTTTGTACTTAGCATTCCTTCAATTTGAGAAGCTTTTCTCCCCAACACACTGTGTATCTATTAACCGTTCAGATCTCAGCTCAAGTATTATTTACTCAGGGAATCCTTCCCTGAATCAGTCTAGGTAAGTTTCCTTTGCTATATACTTTTTCTCTAGAAATATTTTCTTAATATGTATTTATACATTCATCAGTATCATTATTTTATTGGTACATGACATTCCCAGTAGTCTGGAAGTTTCATGAGAGCAGATGCCATTTACTTACCATTGAATATGTATCTAAGCTCAGTGACTGGAACACAGAATATACTCAGTAAATGTGAATTGGGTGGATGAATCGATGGAGGGATGGATAAAAGGTTGGTGTGAAGAATGAATAACAAAGAGTGAATGAGTAAGAAAGAGAGGGATAGAGAAAGAATGTTACAAGTGAACTGTGGCCAAATACTCGTGCTTTACACTTGTAAAAGCACACACATTTCTTTGACTCTAAGTTCTTTTGTCTCCACATTATAGCAAACAATACTCTGTAGGTGGTACTGACATAAGACATTTTTTTTCTGGCAAATAAAAGGAAGGGAGTGGAATTATCTTGACCCTTTGAAAGCATTTATATAACTCAAATCTCATATTATGGTTTTAAAAATGCTCTTATTTCCCATAATGTGAATGTATGTTTAATTTATATTTGCCCTGTGTTCTTTCCCTCAGAAGAATTAGTAAGTTCTAGAGAGTTACCAGTCTTTATTTTGTGATATTACTAATGATTGATATAAACATGTCAGTCAAGAATTGGAAAACAGGTGTTATGAATAAAACAGTGGCTAACATTTTGTCTTTAACAACAATTGCGTTTGTATTATAGAATAATTGAAACTGTGGCAAATACAGATAGAACTATAGATCAAACATGCATTTTTCTCAACTAGCTTTGGGGCTGGAAACCTTATTATTTAATATTTATAAATAATAATTTTGTTCTTGCAGCACTTAAATGCAGAAAGGTCTTACAAGTCCCAGATTTCTACATTACATAAGTCTATTGTAAAGATGGAAGAGGAGCTTCAGAAGGTTCAATTTGAAAAAGTGTCTGCCCTTGCAGATTTGTCTTCTACAAGGGAACTCTGTATTAAACTTGATTCAAGCAAAGAACTTCTGAACAGACAGCTGGTTGCTAAAGATCAAGAAATAGAAATGGTAAGTAATACATTTTTAAACTTTTCTTTAAAAATTGCTATTACTGTAAAGTTAGCTCAATTTTGGAAAAATAAGTTATTTTTTTATATAATGCATCAAGCCATTTCTTTCACCTTTAGGTTTTATTCTTAAGGTACAAGAGATTAATTCATGACTACTAGGTGCCAAACAATTCAAGAACATAACAGAAACTCTTTTTTTGAGCATGCAATTTGCATTTACTTTTAGCTGACATTAGCAGTTAGTGAAGATCTGTAAGGTTGAGGTTTACTCAGCTAAATTTTAACCTTAATGATATTCTTTTTAAGCTAATTTATTTACTAATTGGTTCTTTTTAATTGTAGCTCAGTTGATTATATCTACTTTGTACTCGACATTGTGCTTGTCACTGGGAATGTAATGTTCAAACGATACAGGCTTCTGTCTTCAAGGATTTCCCCAAAGTGACATACAAATAATTTGGGATGAATATTATACTAATAAGAAACACTAGAGGTTTTATAGAGGAAATTCCCATTTGTCCAAGGGATGTGAGGGAGAAATTCACAGTGGTACTATTGAGCTTAGAAGGGATGAGGCAATCCATCCAGAGGGAAAAATCACATCGGCAATGGTATGGAGGTATACATGGATTCCTGAGTTAACAATAAATAATTTGTAATGGCTAATGTAGTATGCATGGGAGGAAGTGGCTAGAAATGAGTGCAGAGAGAAAGATGGAGCCCAGTCCTAAAGGGGTATGTCTAGAGCTGCATTGTGTAATTGAAATATTGGCAAATTTTGGTCATGTTTACATTTCTATTATCACCAGATGCATTGAACTTCTTATTTTGTTGGTCTACTATTTGATGATGCATTTGAGAATCATGTTTCTATCTTGTTTCTGTAAGAATCTACTGTTAATATTTTAATGAAGTGGTATATACCAGGATTCTGAGACTCTTCTTCAAATTATTTTTTATGTCAGCAAAAATTTTTAGTGATGAAAATGACTTTATGAATAGATGTTCACGGTAAAAATTCAAACAATACCATTTTTTGGAAAAAAAAATTTACTTGATATTTTCTTTTTGGAAAAATCCTACATGTTGCTCTAGCAACTGACATAATATGAAGCTGAGATACCAGCATATATCATATCAAAGCTTACAAAAATAATTTACCATGGCATAGTAGGGTATGTTCTAGTAATTTTTCTAAAGTTTTGAAATCATTGTCCTTAGCAAAACTATATATATCTTGATAACGATTTAATTTTTAAATATTTTAAAGACGTTTACTCCAAGTTTTGTAGCTTTTTCCCATTCACATAGCACTTTAAAATACTCCTGATATGTCCCATGTCTAACAAAGGAAGCAAAAAAAGAAAAAAATACGCTTAATATGAATTTTTTTGCTTTGGAATTTAATTCTTTATGTCTATATCTTTAGCTCCTCAGTAAGCTACACTCTCAAGTGCAAGGATCATCCTACATGTTTTTCTTCAGCTGTGCTACACGTATAGGGAGCACTTAAATAATATTTTTCTAAATTAAACTTTTTGATTTTGAGGCAATGGTAGATTTGCATGCAATCCTAAGAAATAATAGACCCATGTACCCTTTACCGGGTTTTGCCCAATAGTAACATCTTATAAAACTATGCATATCCTGTACTGCAAAACTATAATATATTGGATATTGACATTAATTCGGGCAAGATGCAGAACATTTCCATCATGGGGTCCATCATGTTGTCCTTTTGCAGCCCTATCCACTTCCCTACTATCCCCAACCACTCCTTCATCCCTGGCAACCATTAATCTGTTTTCTATTTCTATTATTTTGTTATTTCATGAGTGTTATATAAATATAATAATACAGTAGATAACCTCTTAGAACTGGCTTGTTTTCACTCAACATAATTTTCTGGAGATTCGTCCAGGTTGTTGAATGTATCAATAATTTATTCCTTTTTATCACTTAATAGTATTCATGCTATTGTAACATTGTTTGTTTAACTATTCACCCATTGAAGAACATCTGGGCTATTCCTACTTTTTGTATATTACACATAAAGTTACTGTAAACATTTGTGTTTGCATTTTACATGAACATAAGTCTTCCTTTTTCTGTAAATGACTAGGAGTGCAATTTGGGGTTCATATTAGTTGCATGATTAATTTTTTAAGAAAGTGCCAAACTATGTTTCCAATTGTCTCTACTATTTTGTATTCCCACCAACAATGTAGTAGCAATCTAGTTTCTCTACATCCTTTCAGCTTTTGATATTGTCACTATTTTTTAATTTAGCCATTCTGAAATGTGTATAGTGTATGACTTTTTAATCTGTATTTCCCTAATGACTCATAAAGCTGAAATTCTATTTGTGTAGTTATTTGCTTCTTCAGTGAAATGTTTCTTTATATCTTTAGTTCATGTTCTCATTGAATTGATTGCTTTCTTTAATGTTTTGTGCAGATAGTTCCTTATGTTCTAGATACTGGTCTTTATCAGATATGTGGTTTTAAAATATGTTCTTTTACTATGTATGTAGCTTGTGGTTTTTATCCTCTTTAATAGGGTCTTTATCAGGTACAAACTTTGAAATTTTGATGAAATCTAATTTCTCAATTTTCATTTTATGGATTGTGCTTTTGGTTTTAAGTCTAAAAATTAATTACCATAGCTCTAGATCTCAAAGACTTTTCCTAGGTCTTCTTCTAAGTGTATTATAGTTATATTTTGACATTTAATTCTGTGATCTACTTTGAGTTAATTTCTGCATGAGGTGTGAGGATTACATTGAGGTTCATTCCTGTTTTCTTTTTCTTTTTCTTTTTTTTTTTGCCTGTGGGTGTTCAGTTGCTCCAGTACCATTTGTTGGAAAGTTCTCTTGCTGCCATTAAATTGATTTTATACTTTTGTGAAAAATTAGTTGGCATATTTCTGTGGGTTTATTTCTTGGTTGTATATTTTTTCCCATTTATCTATGTGTCTATCTCTCCACCAATGTCACACAATCTTGATCACTGTAATTATATAGTAAATCTTTAATTCAAGTCTATCCACTTTATTCTTCTTTTTCAAAATTGTTTTAGTCATTGTAGTCTCTTTGACTTTCCATACAAATTTTAGAATAATATTTCTATGTCAACAAAAAAAGTCTTGCTTGAATTTTGATGAGTTTTATTAAATCTATATATCAATTGGGGAGAATTGATATTTTTACTATGTTGAGGCCTCCAATCCATGAACACGGTATATCTTATTTAGATCTTCTTTTATTAGCATATGTAGTTTTCAGCATGCAAGTTCTATACATATTTTGTAAGATTTTCATCTACAAAATACAAAGAAGTATTTCTTCTGTTTTTGAGCTATTGTAAATGTTTTTGGTTTTAATTTTGGTATCAGTGTGTTCGTTGCCAGTATATAAAAATACATTGATTTTTGAAAGTTTATCTTGTATCCTGTGAACTTGCTGAATTCACTTACTAGTTCTAGTAGTTTCTCTGCAGAGTCTGTGTGATTTTCTATGTTTACAATCATGCTATCTGAAAATAAGGACAGTTTTTATTTCTTTCTTTCTGATCTATGTGCCTTTTTGCACTGTTTAGCACTATGACAAATGAGAGTGTTGAAAGTAAACACCTTGCCTTCTTCCCAATATTAGGCAGATAGCATTCAGTGTTTCACTATTAAGTGTATTGTTACCTGTAGTAATTTGTAGTTACTGTTTATCAAATTGAGGGAGTTCTCCTCTAGTCCAATATTTCTGAGAGTTTTTATCAAGGATGAGTGTTGGATTTCTGTTGGATACTTTTTCTTTTTCTTTTTTTTTGAGTTGGAGTCTCTCTCTGTGCAGACTGGAGTGCCGTGGCTGCTCCCAGCCACCGCAGCCTCGACCTGCTGGGCTCTGGCGATCCTTCCACCTCAGCCTTCCAAGTAGCCGGAATTAAGGCACGTGGTACCACGCCTGGCTGATTTTTTGATTTATTGTAGAGATGAGGTCTTGCTGCTCAGGCAGGTCTCAAACCCGCGGGCTCAGGCAATCCACTCACCTCAGCCTCCCAAAGGCGCGGGATTACAGGCTGAGATAGATGGATACTTTTTCAATGTCTATTTATGAGATCCTATGATTTTTTTCTCAGACTCTTCATATGATAGATTACATTAATTGATTTTTGAATATTGAATCAGTCTTGCACCCCTGAGATCATTCAGATTATATATATATGTTATATATGTTTATATTATATATTATATTATACTATATATATAATTTCAATACCTTTAGGGGTACAGATATAGAAAATCCTAAGGAATCCACAAAGAAACTATTAGAACTAATAAATGAGTTCAGGGTTATAGGACACAAGATCAATATATAATAATCAGTTTTGATACATTAACAACGAGTAATCTGAAAATGAAAATAAGAAAACAATTCTATCAAATGCAATTACATCAAAGCTACACTACAAAACATTGCAAAAGAAATTAAAAGAGACCTATGTAATTGGGAAGACATTCCATGTTTATGAATCAGAACACTAAGCATTGTTAAGATGGCATTACTCCCCAAATTGATCGAAAAATTCAATACAATACCTATTAGAATCCAGTTCTCTTCTTTGTAGAAATTGACAAGCTGACCTACAATTAATTTGGAAGTAAAAGTGATTCAGAATAGCTAAGCAGTCTTGCAAAAGAAGAACAAAGTCGGGGGACTCACACTTCCTGATGTCAAAACTGGCTACAAAACGACAGTAATCAAGACAGTGTAGTACTAACATAAGGAAAAACATAGAGACCAGTGGAACAGAACTGAGAATCCAGAAACGGTTCTTACATTTGGCCAAATGATTTTCAAAAAACTGATGCCAAGGCAATTCAATGAGGAAAGAATAGTATTCAACAGATTTTGTGAGGACAACTGAATATCTACATGGAAAAGAAGTTGGATCATATGCAAAGACCAACTTAAAATGAATTATAGGCCTATATGAGCCAAACTATAGAATCCTTAAGAAGAAAACATAGAAGTAAATCTTTGTGATCTTGGCTTAGGCAGTGTTTTTTTTATTATCATCAAAAAGGTGAATGAAAAAAGAAAAAAAAACCAGATTAAATGAACTTCATTAAAATTTTTAGAAAGTTTGCACTTTAAATGGTATCATCAAGAAGGTAACAAGACAATACACGGAATGGGAAGGAACTATTTGCAAACTGTATATCTGATAAGAAATTTATATCCAAAATATATAACAAAGTCTTACAACTTAGAAAAAATGGACAAAGGATAGCAATAGGCATTTATCTACATAAGATACATAAATGACCAAGAAATGCATAAAAAGATGCCTGACATCATTAGCAATCAGAGAAATGCAAATCAAAATTATACCTTTTCACAGCACTAGGATAGCTATTATAAAAAAGATGATAAAGGATATTGACAAAGATGTAGAAAAAGTAGAACCCTGATACATTTATGGTGGGAATGTAAAATAGTGAGAACACTCTGGAAAACCTTTTGGCAGTTCTTCAAAATGTTAAAAATAGGATTACTATACAGTCTAGAAACTGCATTCCTATCTACCCAAGAGGAATGAAAACTATATCCATGTAAAAACTTATGCACAAAATTTAATGGCAATATTATTTATAATAGCCCCAAAGTGTAAATGTAGGGCTCAAATGTTCCCAACTCATGAATGGATATTTATGATGTATTCATACAATACAGTATTATTAGGCAATAAAAGTATGAAGTACTGATACCTGCCAAGACATTGATGACTCTTAAAAACATTATGGTAACTAATGGAACCCAGTCACAAAAGACTGTACATACATTATATGATTCCATTTCTATGAAATGTCTAGTTTAAGGCAAAACATAGAGAAAGGAGATTAGGGATTGGCTAGGGCCAGTGAGGGAAGAATATGGTGACTGTTAATGGATACTGATTTTCTTTTTGGAATGATGAAAAAGTTTTAACATTAGATTGTGGTAATAATTGAATGTGTTAATATGTTTAAGTCATTGGATTGTATGTACACTTTAAATGAGGGAGTTGAAGAGTATGTGAATTATATCTCAAAAAAGTTATTACTAAAAAAGCAATGATCTATTTTCTACTTCTGCCAGCAAAGTATATGAGATTGCCATTGCCTATTTTTTTTTTTTTTTGAGTTGGAGTCTCACTCTGTCACCTGGACTGGAGTGCAGTGGCCACTCCTGGCCACCTCAGCCTCGACCTGCTGGGCTCCGGTGATCCTTCCGCTCAGCCTTCCAAGTAGCTGGAACTACAGGCGCGTGCTACCACACCCACTAATTTTTGATTTATTGTAGAGATGATGTCTTGCCAAGTTGCCCAGGCGGGTCTCGAACCCGCGGGCTCAGGCAATCCATTCACCTCAGCCTCCCAAAGCGTGGGATTACAGGCTGAGCCACCGAGCCCGGCGCCATTGCCTATTTTAATGCTCCTTAACACCAACAAATTTGCCAATTGGATAGACTAGAACAGTATCTTGATAGACTCTTTGGTTCAACTGAAAGCGATTTTGCCCCTCAGAGGATATTTAGTAGTGTCTAGATACATTTTTCATTGTCATGATCTAGGTGGAGAATGCTAGAGGCATCTGTCAGGTAGAGACCAGGAATACTGCTAAACATTCTGTAATGCAAAGGGTAGCCCCTGTCCCCACCAAATAATTATCCTACCCAAAAGGTCTGTAATGTCAGGGTCAGAAACTCAGAAATAGAAAGCAATTTGTTTAACTTATATTTTTTTGTTTCCATATATAGTTGTATTTCTTCTTTTATATGCTTTCTGATATTATTTCATTCATATCTCTCATCAGTTTATGAGTTCTTTACATTAGTAAAGGTATTAACTATTTTACTTACTGATTTAATTATTTTCAAATTTTGGTTAAGTTTATATTGACTATCCAAATATTTATTTTTATGTGATAAAACTTATTTTTGCATCATATCTAGTTTAGAGAGTTCTTCTCCTACCTATCTATCCTCCTCCCTGTAATTTTTTTTTTTTTTTTTTTTTGAGTTAAGAGTCTCACTTTGTCGCCCAGGCTGGAGTGCAATGGCATGCTCATGGCCACTGTAACCTTGTCCGGCTGGGCCCAGCTGATCTTTCTGCCTCAGCCTTCCAGGTAGCTGGAATCACAGGTGTGCACCACCACACTCAGTTAATTTTTTGACTTATTGTAGAGACAAGGTCTCATCAAGTTGCTCAGACTGGTCTTGAATCTCTGGGCTCAGACAATTCTCTCAACTCCACCTCTGAAAGTGCTGGGATTACAGGCATGAGCCACCATACCCAGCCCATTTTTATTTCTTTATACTGGAATTTTAAGCTTATCATTTCACATTTAGCTTTTTAAATGCATATATAATTTATTAGAATGTGTATTATGAGATAAGGAGTCTTTTTTTGTAAATAGTAATGACTGTTCTTCCTCATTTTGAGAAAATATTTGACTTACAGAACATATTTTAGGCTCATTATAACCTTCAAAAGGAAGCTTTCCATAGGTTGATGCCAGAAAGGGAATGTGCATCTAATCCTTATATCCTTTAATTATGGAGTGCAATGACATTTCATAAGGTAGTTAGGTGTTTGTAACTTAAATCAGGACAAAACAGTAGTCACAGATATTACCATGTCAGCCTTGCAGGAGCATATAAAGAAATATCAATGGTGGAAATGGAAATTAGTTGCAGTTTGGAATTAATAAGCCTTTACTTAAATTAATGAATTTTCTGATATGATCAATGAGAGGGGAAAGTGATACTATATGTCTCTATGTGGTCTGGTAAGAAGGAGGACACAATTTCAAATCAAATTAAAAGCAGTTGCTAGTTTATAACACACTATAAAAGTTTTGTGAATTCCCAATAATATGTCAGTTCAGTGAATGAATGAAAATAAGTGTAAATATCTTCCTATAATTGTGCAGATGGAGAATGAGTTAGATTCTGCTCGTTCTGAAATAGAACTCCTGAGGAGTCAGATGACAAATGAAAGAATCTCCATGCAGAATCTAGAAGCTTTGCTGGTGGCCAATAGAGACAAAGAATATCAGTCTCAGATAGCACTTCAAGAAAAAGAATCTGAAATTCAGCTTCTTAAAGAACACCTTTGTTTGGCGGAAAATAAAATGTGAGTTGGTTAGCAATGTAGCATAAAGGTATATTTCTTACATTTTTGATATATATAGAAAGTAGAAATTTAAAATGAGAATTTGACTCCCATAATTTGCTATTAATTAAACTGAAGATCAGAAATATTGTGATTTTCCTAAGATTTAGTACTTCTATTATGCTTTTTCTTATCTAAGTTTAAGTTTAATGATCTCTGTTGATTGCTTCTAACAGAGTTTTTGGTATACTAGAATGTTTGACCAAAAATATTGCCCTTAGGAAATATAACCAAGCTAGGAAAAAAAAATTGAGCACCCTGACACCAGAAGAATTTTTATATTTATGGACCTTCCTGGTATTGTAGCCTACTATTTCCATTTGCCACATAATATTTCTTTTTTGTTTTTAGTCAGAGTCTCACTCTGTCGCCCAGGCTGGAGTGCAGTGGCACTCTCACGGCCACCCCAGCGTCGACCTACTGGGCTCAGGTGATTCGTCCACCTCAGCCTTCCAGGTAGCCGGAACTACAGGTGTGCGCTACCACACCCAGCTAATTTTTTTATTTACTGTAGAGATGAGGTCTTCCCAAGTTGCCCCAGCTGGTCTTGAACCCCTGGACTCAGGCAATCTTCTTGCCTCGGCCTCCTAAATTGGGATTACAGGCTTGACCACTGTGCCTGGTCATAATATTTCTTTATGTGCCTATAAATGTAGGCACATAATGTATTTTTATTACAAAATGTTGGTTATTATAGCACCGTAAAATTTATATGCTCTAGGAAAGTGATATCTGGAAGAACACTTACATTCACAAAATGCTGAAGACTTTCTTGGAACATTGGAGACTTCCTTAGAACATTGATTTTGCCTTTTTTTTTTTTTCTTAAGGATTCCTATCACCATTAGTGCCTTATTAAAGACCCTTAGCTGGAGGCTTGGGAGGACATGCCTACCTGGATAGCAAATGTTTTATTATTAAACTTGGTTACCTCTCACAAAAACTAATGGGGACCCTCAGCCCTTGTTCTGATCTGTCCCATCTATAGCACTTTTTCATCTAGCTTCCATTCTGCCCTCACATCCAAACCCAGACCTGGGGAAGGATCGAAATTATGGTCAGCAGTTAGACTCCTTGGAGCTCCTGACTAGGAAAAAGCTGAAGAACCAGTGCCATCTCCTTTAGCAATTTCTTGATAGGGCGATTGTGACAAGGTCATTCTTTTTTAGTTACTATAGCTGGACCATTGTGATACCTTCAACCGGTTTTGCAGGATCACTTTCTCAAGGTGGTAGGTGGAAATCAGCTTTAGTGAAGTATGCCAAAACTCCCACTTTAAGGGGTACGTTCTGTTTTAGACTGACTGGTAAGTACTATCACTTATAAGTATCTAGTATGAGAAGCGTTTGTGGTCTTAGTCCATAAAGTTTAGATTTTAGCAGTCTATAATGCTGTCCTGAAAGTAACAAAGAGGATAGAATGTTCTGTGCAAGAAGCATTCGTCTGTCATTATCTTCCTTATAATACTGTACCTTATCATGGGGTTTTTGAGGCAATTTTTAGCCTTAAGGAGGATCCTATTAAATTTAAGAGTTTTTATGTTGTTAAGTATACATATCAAATTTCATTAAAGTATGTATAAGGAACTTGGTTTAGTTGTTACATATAAAACAGACAATATTAATCATGGTGCTAGTGAATTCCAGTGTTAGTTATTTTATGATACTACTACTTTATATAAGACTCCAAATTACTTTTTAAAAATGATTTATAGTAAATATATAGCATAAACAGATAGTATGTAATATTAGCCCATTTATACATAGGGAAACTGAGAAAGAAAAGTTTTAGCTAATGGAACAAGACTTAGATTGCTTAGACTTTTCAAGTAGGCTACTTTGCACAATAACTATCTCTAAAATTGGCATATTTTAAATGTACTAATAAATCTGTCCATAAAAATCACAATGTGACTTGGTTCCAGTTGAGAAAGCTTTGCCAACATGGCTTACTGTGTTCTAGGAGTCATAGCCATATTTTACATTTAATCAACTATCACTCTTATATTCTGTTACACAGGGCCGTCCAGAGTAGAGATGTGGCTCAGTTCAGAAATGTCGTCACACAATTGGAAGCTGATTTAGATATTACCAAAAGACAACTAGGGACAGAGCGTTTTGAAAGGTGAGTTTATCTCTATGCAATGTTCAGCATGGAAAGCACTGTTTCTTGGTAACAACAGGCTTTTGTCATTTCATGATGGTTAGATTTTAAAGTATGAATTGAGTGACAGTTTTACAGTAGTTTTAATAATTTAACTGGATACAAAATTTAAAGGCATCACTACTTTGCTTTAGGGAGAGGGCTGTACAAGAACTTCGTCGCCAAAATTACTCAAGCAATGCTTATCATTTGAGTTCTGCAATGAAACCAAATGTAAAATGTCATTCACCAGAACGTGCTCACCATCGATCTCCTGACCGAGGCCTAGATCGGTCATTAGAAGAGTAAGTTAGTTTAAAGATTTGTTCTCTTAGAACCGTATAGCAATATATAGTACAATGAATATTTGAGAGAGTAAGGAAACCCAGTAAACAGTCTATATTTAAATATAACTACAAAGATATGTTGATATAAAAATAAAAGATTTTGATAATTAATTTAGAAATTTATATATTATACTAAAGTGAAACATCTTTAATATTTTATGTTTGCATAAATTATATTTTAAATGTCTGATTTAAAAAAATTTCTACAACATAAATTAATGTATTTTTATTACAAAATGTTGGTTATTATAGCACCGTAAAATTTATATGCTCTAGGAAAGTGATAACCTAATTTTTCAGAGGGAAGTATCTTAGGTATATTTTTATATGTTACAAATTTCATTAAAAACTTTTAACCTGGTAATAATTTCAAATTTATAAGAAGTTACAAAAATAATACAAAGCATCTCTGCATATCCCTTAAAAAATTGTATTCCATTTATTTTATCACATATACATGTGGTATCTCATGTACTCACACTCTTACACATGCTCTCTCACTATATACACACACTTGCATGTACACACATACATACTTGCACACTCACAGAGACATATTTTTTAAAATAACCAAAACCTCCAACTCTAAACAATTCTCACATGTTTCTTCCTATCTTCTTCCATTCAGTATTTATATGTTCTTCCTTTCACCATGAAAACCCTAGTTTAGCAGTATGTACTGACTCATTTGCTCAGTCCCATAATGCATCTACAGTAGTTTCACAGTGTCTTCACCTGTGTTACTACAATAAGCAGACCAGCTTTTTAAAAGTTCGGGACCTGCGTGCAGTTCTTCCTTCCTCCTCCCATAAACTACCTTGCCCAAGTCTTGAGGGAATATAGTCAAATACTGAGTTCATTAGTTTCTTGGATTTTTTATGACTTTTACTATGGTTATAGTATTCATATGAAATAACATTAGATTCATTTATTTCAATTTGCTCTCGTTTTTCATTATTCTCCTTATTTTTTTCCTCAGTTATATTTTTGAATATATAGATTAGCATGCTTTTCAAAGTCAAAACTATGTAAGAAGTAATACTCAGAGAGATGCCACTTTCCCTTTGATGCCTTCTATACCATCGTCTGTGCCTCTACCTCCTTCCCTTTTGGTTTCACAGATATATATATTTCCTTTATTATGCAAAAAGTAGCATATTATATATGCTTCTTTGCACTGTGATTTTCTCACTTAACACTGTCTCCTGGAAATCACTCCATGATGATTCATAGAGATGCTTCTTGTTCCCTTTTTCAGCTGCATAGCACTCCATTGTGTGGATGTACCATAGTTATTCAACCAATCTACTATACTTGGACGTTTAGATAGTTTCCAACAATTTGTAATTACAAACAAGGCTGTAATGAATAATATTGTGCACATATATTTTCATATTGTTGGAGGGCTGTCTTCAGAATAAATTCCTAGAAGTAGGATTTCTGGGTCAAGGGGTAAATGCATATATAGTTTTGTTCCAAATTCCCTACCATTTTTCATTCCTTCCTGCAGTGTGTGAGGTACCTGTTTACCTACAGCCTTACCAGCAAAGTTTGCTGTCAGGCTTTTGAATTAGTGCCACGAAGGTGGATGAGAAATGGTATTTCAGTATAGTTTTAATTTGCATTTATCTTATCATGAGTGAAGTTGAACATCTTTTTATAGGTTTAACAACCATTTTTATGTCCCTTTTTGTGAGTTATCTATTCATTTCTTCTGCCTATTTTTCAAATGGATTTTTGGTGTTTTCGTAAAAAAAAAAAAACCAAACAAACCTTTTTTTTAGTGAATTTAAGAGATTAGCCCTTTATCAGTGATATACATGCTCCAAATATTTTCTCCTATTTTTGTGACTTGTCTTTTAATTTTACTGTACTGCCTTTTTACATAAAAAGTAAAAGTTTTTATTTTTATGTAGTTTAATGCATCTGGATTTCCATTTATAGTTAGAAAATCTATTTTTCTACTCATCTAGATAATAGAGGGATTCACCAGTGTTGTCTCTTAGTACTTATATTGTTTTATCTTTACATTTAGACATCTGATCGATTTGAGGTTTGTGTATGATTTCAGGAATGGATCTAATTTTATCTTTTTTCCAGTAACTATCCAGTTGCCCCAAGATCATTTACTTAAAAGATTCTTCATGCCAGTAATTTAAGACTCTTTCTGGGCTTTCTATTTCTATTCTATTGATCTGCCTGTTTATGTGCCATTTCTACACTATTTTAATTACAGAAGCTTTGTGGTATTTTTAGTGCTGTAGGACTAGTTCAATGGTGTGGAGGTAACTGGCTTTCCAAAGTGGAGAAAGGAGAAGCCCTGATCTGTAATACTTACCAATTTCTGTGGTACAAATACTCATGCTGTGACCAGTTTTAAGCTCCCAGTGGTTTAACCACTGAATCACCAAGTTCACAAAAATTTACAATCAGCTGTAAGCCAGCTCCAGGAAAGCAGTGGGCTAGTGCCCCTGAGAGCTCTTCCTTTAAATTGTTTGCCAATATTTTCTTGTGAGTTTATTTTTTCATATGAAATTTAGGGTCAGCTTATCTAGCTCCACTTAAAAAAAAACCCTTTGGACTTTTTGTTAGTATCACATTAAGTTTGTAAATTTGACTTGGGAGAACTAATATCTTGATAATGTTGAGATATCCTGATCAAGAATAAATATCTTTCCATTTGTTCAAATTCATGTTTATGTCTTCCAGGATGGCTTGTAATTTTCTTTATATAAGTTTTGAACATTTTTTGTTGTTTATTCCTAAATATTTTATCTTTTTTATTATAAATGTTTTTTAAAATTCACTATATCTTCAAAAACACTATTGATTTTTCATGTTACTTTTCTATCTTGCTACCTTGCTAAATTTTTTTGTTTTATTAAGTTTTATCTTTGATTTTCTAGGCATTTTTAGGTATACTATCATGTCATCTGCAAAAAAGATAGTTTTATTTTTCTGTTCCTATTTTCATGTCTTGAACTGTATTATCTATACTTTGAAACAATGTTTGTTGCTTTGGTACTATCTGATTGCTAAAAATTTGGTTAATTCACCTGTGAAACCACATAACCTTGGTTCTTTTTTGATGGGATACTTCCTTGATAACTTAATATTTCTTCTTTGGCAATTAGTCTTTTTAAGTTTTTTTATCTCTATTTGCCTAAAAATTATTTATTTCCCCTAGATGTTCAAATTATTTGCCAGAGGCAATTAATGTAGTATCTTATGGATTTTAAAATTTCATTTGTATCAATAGTTATATCCCTATTGTCATTTCTTATTTTTATATATGTAGTCTTCCCTCCTTCTCCCCATTTTAAATTTTATTATATTAGCCAGTGGCTTGTCTACTTTGTTCACTGCTTCAAAGAACTAAGATTTAGATTTATTGATTTGTTCTACTATTTTTCTTTCTCATATTAATTTGTTTTTATTATTATTGTTTACTTCCTTGTGATGTGTTTTACCTGGTTGAGTTTTTGCCTAGCTTTTTGTGTTGGGAATTTAATTCATTTATTGTCATTCCTTTATTTATTTATTTTGGAGATAGAGGATTATGGCTATAGATTCTGATATGTAATGTTTTTATTATCATTATTTTTTTAGAAATGCTGTAATTTCTGCTTACATTTTTACTCTTAACCTTGAGTTATTTGATAGAGCCTCTTTTAATTTTCACTTGAAAGGCTTTTTTGTGATTTGGTTTTATTTTTAATTTCTAATGCTATTGTACTTGAAAAGGTATATTTTTTTCTTGTCAGGGTGTAGTGTTCTGTATACTGGGGTACCAAAAAATGTATACACATTTTAAGGGTGTTTGCCATAATCAGAAGTGTCTGGATGCTGATGGTAACCACTTGAGCGCCTCTTGTAATTGCAGAAGTCAAATGTGACTTGTATTCATCTTTTGTTACTGGTATATATTGAGTGTTACAATTTTAGTAGTTTTTCCTTTCTTAAAGTATGTATGTATGTTTTTGGCTCTCTCTGTATATGTAAAAGATTTACCTTTTTGAACTGTAGATCTTTTATATTATTGTTTAATTTTAGTACAAGTTTTCTGTACTATTTTTGTAATTACCTGTGAGACTATAATAATTTTTTAAAAATATGTGTACATCCATATAATGGGATACTATTTAGCAGTTAAAAGGAATATGTAACAACTTCTAATCTACTTGACCCATATTTTGCTAAGAGTGGGGTTCTAAAGTCTCCTATTAGTATGTTATTACTTATTTTTACACATCCTATAAATTTTGCTTCATACAATTGTTTTACTGTTTTATTTGTCATATAGATATTTTGAAATATTATTCTTCATTATGAAATATGACTTTTATAATGTGTCCTTTTCTGATGTGTTTAAGTGTTTGTTTTTTTTTTAAATTTACTTGACTACTTTTTCTGGTATTAGAGTTCCAACTCCTGCTTTCCTACTGCTTCTATTTGCCTAGTAAATATCTTTATTTTTATTTTATCACTGTATCTTTAAGTATATCTCTGATATACAGTATGGATTTGAGTTTTGCTTTATGAGGCATCTTGAAAATCTTTTTTTTTTTTTAATAGGTGAGTTAAAATCCTTTATGTTATTGATGTGACTATTACGTCTGGTCTCAACTCAGTCATACTTTGTTTTAATTACTGTCTTTATTATATGATATTTGTTGTGTTTCTCCATTTGGTTAGTCCCCTTTGCTTTTTAACAAAGTCCTTTTGGTATTTAGGAAATTTTATTTTAGTTATTACCTTTCTATTAATACCTTTAACAATGCCTTTAATCCTTTTTTTTACTTAACCTTTTATTGTCAATTTCAAATGGTGTCCTTTGACTGATAACTATTGTCTAGACAACAATGTACTGAACTTACGTTCCTCTAATTACTGCTCTGTTTCCTGTCCCTCTAGTTTTGTCTTTCTCAGGTTGTCATATAAATGGAATCATATAGTATGCACCCTTAATGGTTAATGTTCATTCAGCATAATATATTTGAGATTTATCCAGGTTGTTGCATGGATTCATAGTTGTCACATATTCCTTTTAACTTCTGAATAGTATTCTATTATATGGATGCACCACAGGTTTAAAAAATGGTTATAGTCTCACAGGTAATTACAAAAATAGTACAGAGTCCCACATATCCTTCCCCCAGCTTCTGTAATGATGATATCTTACAAATCAGGAAATTGACATTGGTATGATATGATTAACTATTCTATGGCCCTATTCAGATTTCACTAGATTTTACATGCACTTATTTGTGTGTAGGTGTTTTGTTTTTTTTAATAAACCATACACACCACCACTACAATCAAGACACTGAATTGTTCCATCAGCACCAAAGAACTCACTCCCTTGTAATACCTCTTTGTAGTTGTAGCCCTGCTCTCCTCTATCTCTGTCTCCTGGAAAACAGTAATTTCTTCTCCATCTCTATAATTCTGTGATTTTGAAAATGTTATATACATGGAATCATACACAGTATGTAACCTATTGAGACTTACTTTTTTCATTCAGCATATTCGGTCTGTGAGATCCATCCAAGTTGTTGCACATATCAATAGTTGATTCCTTTATTGTTGAATAGTATTCCCTAATGTGAATATACCAAAATTTGTGAAAACTGGATTTAAAAAATGCATTGCAATATTTTTCTTCACAAAAACTGGAGAAAAATCCTGCTAAAGTAATACTTTTGCTAGAATACATTTGTTACACATGTTAAAATAGTTGAGTTAAAAATGTTAATCTGCATATTTTTTCTCTCTTTTAGGAATCTTTGCTATAGAGATTTTTGACACATGAAAAGATTCTTCACATCCTTGGGAAAGGTCAAAGTTACAAACTGATTTTTTTTTGCTACATGATTGCATTTATCTTTTGAATGCTTGCCAATGTTAAATGTATTTATTAACGGTGTGCCTCTGAATCTCTGTTCTTATGTGCCATATCACAGTGATCTGAGATGACTTATTGAAACAAAAATGCATATGGCCTTTTCTATCCACACAGTAATAGTGAGTGTAAAATCTGCTTACTTCACTATTGAACACTGTTATGTTAACTATCCAGAGTAAATAAAAAAAGCTTATAAAAAGAGGGAATAGTGTTTTTACAAAACTGATTTTCTTTTCTTTCTTGGTGTCTCAAATAATTGGCTGGTTAAAATTTTTTCTTTGTTAGTTATGCTTTCATGGCTGGATAAGCTGTGACAAAATGGGCACAGTTTACTGATACTGGCCTGGGACCCAATATTCCACTTTGGAACAAACCTGACATAATTTCCATGCCATATTCTGATTTCAAAGGAGCAGAAAGTAGAAGTTTGTCAGGGTTTTAAAGTCCTTAGTATTGTACCACTCAAAGACTCATTAACATACATTTCCTACAATTGTGTTTACTCCTACTGTTTTTAGAAAGGTAGGTGATTATATATCTGTCAAGAATGTAAGATTTTTTTAAAATCTGTATTTTTAATAAGTTTTTTAAAACATTAAAGAACTGCAATAAACTTAATTGCCATTTTATTTTATTTTATTGCCTGTGGCAGCTGTCTGTAATCTAGAGTAAAAAATTGAGTGATGTTCCCCCCATCTCCTAAATCTCTTACCTTATTTATCCATAGGCTTTGATTTAATATTGATATTAGAGGCTGACTGCTACTGTATTTTGCTGATATAAGCTATTTGTATTTTTACCATTTTAATAAAAAAATACTGTCAATATAGTATTCATATGATGTAGACAGTTTCTCATTTTATATAGTCACTGTTCAATATGACTATAGAGATATAGGATAGTGCCTGATTTAGGTTTTGTTTTATCATTAGCACTCTGATATTTTGCTATAATTTCATGCTATATATCCACTTTGCATTTACTATCTGGTAGACAGTCATTACAGATTAGTAAAAAAATGAATAACAAGATGCCCTTTAAAAACATTTTAAAGAATAATATGCAAAAAATCGTTATTGCTAATATTAAATAATATTTATATATGCAAAATTAACCTTTGCTAGCTTACTCAATGACTTTAGCACCAGGTCTATCCACCTAGAAGAGATGACAAAGAGCCGAGCGTCACCTGTCATATGCACTTAACACATGTTCTGTGTGGAGGGCTGTATGTGGGGAGGGGGCATTAGAGGATCAGGAATGAGGTATGTAAGAAAATATTTCCATACTTGATTAAAAGTATACTATACTTGATTTGTGCTATTAATTACACAAGTAATATAAAAGGAAAGTCATATGGCAAGTATAAAGAGACCAGTGTTATCCATAGTCTGAGGAACCTATCTGCATTCTGTGTTAAAATTTCAAACAATTTTTTGTTATGGTAATATTCAAGAACATCTGTTGTATTAAATGAGATTCTAATTGCTTGATGTAAATATTTAATAGCCTGTTGACATGGTAGAGACTGCCTAATGCAAACACAATCTGTAAAACTATACCAAACATATTCTTTCTGGATGACAAAGACCCTGAAAAAGAACTCGTAGCTTTTATATGTCATGTCCAATGCACAGCATCCAATCTTGCTGAAGTAAGGGTATTGTGAAAGAGAACTGTCAACCCGCTGAGTAATTTAAGTCCAGAATTTTTCTACATAACCACAATGTGCTTTACTAATTAACCTTTAATTTTCAAATAATCTCCCAATTAAATTTAAGAACATAAATATAAAATATTTATATTAAATAAAGTCAAAAGCATCATTATATCAAGACTTTATGCTCTCAACCAAATACTCAACCTCACTATCACTATCGATTTCCTTTGAATTAATACTATGCAAAACTATATCACTGACAAAATAATGTATGGTATGTCAACTTGAACTCACTTCTTTCGTCAATAACTTCTTTAATAGAAAGAATATTCTTAGTCTTTTAAGGAATATAGGAATGTTTCATATGAGTGCATTACAGTTTAGAAAAGAATACTTTTGTAATCAAAGGACTAAAAAATCAGGATATTTTCATAATCAAGGCATCAGGCCACTTTTCTTAGGTGCTGTTCTATGTTTTAACAGAATTCATAGAAATAAGCTACATTTGTAATTGCATGATTAACATGCAATTAAGAATATTTAAGTCTAACAAGTAATAATTGAGCACCTTCCATGAGCAAAGAACTATGCACAGTGCTCTGCAGTCATAGCTCTTATTCCAAATAATGTTGTAATTCATGGTTTGAAATAATGTGAAAATAACATCTACAGGCTGAAAGATGATCACTGTATTATCAGATGTTAAGTCTGCTTCCTTAGAGTGCAGATTGAAATGTGATAAATACAATTAAAAATATCATTAGTTGTCCCATTACTTCTTCAGCAATTCCTAAGCCTGGTTTTACCATATAGTGACTTGTGTACCTTTAACAAAAAAAATAGTAAAATTAAATGATCTAGGGGCAGCAATGTGCCTAAATCAGAGTATAGCTTTATGACTCAGTTCCAAAGAGTCTAACCAACCCTTCTTTCTGAGTTTTGTGGACCTAACTTAAATAGACAGTTATTATACTATTTTATCAAATTATTTTATTCTTGTCTCTTTTAAATTGTATTTAATTTTTTTCTTGTAGAGTTTGCACAATTTTCTTATGTGTCTTCCTTTGATTCTCTAGGATCATAGTTAGCTTCTCTATTATATTTATCTATTTTCTGGTTTTGCAGCTTGTCCCTTAGCTTTTTACATAGTATAATGAAATATGGCCTTTTGTAATCTGTGTTACCAAAGTGAATTATGTGTTATCATGGCAACTTCAGAAACAACTTTAATGAGTGAGATTTTATTTGTTCTTTAATAAATATGCTCTTTTGAACAGCCACAGTGCTGTCCTCAGGATATTTTTGAAAGGAGTTAGGCAAGACATGCAGCCTACTGGAGCATTCCTTTGATTGGCATACCTTTGTATAGCCTTGCGGCATCTGTAGGTTATTGAGCTGTTTAGAGGTTATTTGTCACATACCTGCAGTGTCCACCCCATCAGCTGTCACTGCTGATCTTTTTTGTCATAAGCTGATCAACCTCTCATTATACTTTCTTCTCTTTTCGATCTTTCCCATTTTGATTTTTCTTCTTTAATAATGAATGTAGCTATTCTTAGCTCATCACTAAGTTTTAGAGAACAAAATTATTAGTTCGCCAAGCAGCCAGTGTTATAAATATGATTCTTCCCATATTATGAGTGTAAGGAGAGGAGAATAGAATCCCAGAAAAACTATATAATTGTCCTTGTGTAGGGTCACAAAACAAATAAGTATCTGTGTCAAGTTCTCGAACAAAGGTTTGTCGCATACCAACAACCATGTTGTTCTGTTTGACCACTTTGCTCTTCTGCCTCCCCATTGGTCTTTGGCTATGATTTCTATGGCTATTGCCTGCCAATCATAATATTTTTACTAACTGGTGAATTTACCAGTGACTAATGCAGCTTTATCATCTCTTTGTTCTTTCTGAGGAACTTTTACTTCCAGGCTTCTTTGTCGCTCCTTGGATTTAACCAGATTGTACTCAGTTAAGGGTGTAATTCTTCAGAGCAACAGATACTTTGTTATTTATGAAGCTGTTTTCAACTGAAAGGTCACATTTTTTTCACATAAACTTTGACATTCCAAAAAACAGTATTGCCTACACTTTTTGCTACCTTAATGGACTTAAAATTGTGAATAGCAACTAAACATGCTAGTATCTTATATGTAATAATTACTCTAAATACTTTAATTTATGTGACATTGTTTTATAAATTTTACTAAAAGATGTAAGTGTGAAATTTTTGATTAAAGCAATATATATTTCTATCATAGATTAGATGAAGTAGTAAGTCAATGAGCATGGTGAGGTCATAGTAAATAAAGTACAACTGTGACAAAAATACTAGAGTATCAGATGCTCAATTCTCATATATACTCAAGCTATTTCTGAATTAGGTCTTAGAAGTTAGTGTTTAGTCTGACCATGTGTCATAATTCATTATTAATAGGGTTTAAGTTTTTGCAAAATAATAGTCCAACCCTTTGAGGATATAAGATGGTAATTTTGTATTTTATAATAGTAAAGTCTTTTTTTAAATCTCACAATTGTTTCATGTTTTGATTGAAAGTGAGAGGTATTCAAGTTACTTGAAAAGTTACTTGAAGTTGTATTTTTCATTGTTTTATTAGACCTTATAAACTTTCTCCTCTTTAGATACATGTTTCTTTATTCCTATGTAACAGTACAACTTTAAATTTATACTGCCTGCTAATTAAAACAGCCTCAAAAATAAAGCTGAAGATGTAGTGTCCATTTTCTCACCCTAGCTTTCTTTTCCAGAATAGTTAGATTGACTTAAACATTTTTTATTGGAGTGCAGTCATAAGTGGTTTGAATCTTTAAAGTATATTAGAAAGTCCCGAATACTAAAGAACAAAAGAGAGTTGTAAGTGACTCTCATTCACCAAGGATATCCGACATTTGATATTAATAACACAGTCCAAGTCTGAATATTTTTTCCAGTGAAGATAATGAGTTTGGAGATGTAATTATTTACAAATCTTCATATGCACCCAAGCCACTTTGAAATCTAGCTTTCTAATTCGCCTAATTAATATGTCAATCTGTGACTGCTTTTAACTTTTGTCTTTAATGTTAAATATTTAAATTGAATTTTTTTGGAATAAGTTTGCAGCTTCAAAATCCAAGTGCTTAGAATGGTACCAAGCACATAGTAAGTTTTCAATACATGTTAACATTTATTATAATATCTTCTTTACCTATCCCATAAAGAATAGAGAAATTGGAAAGGACACAGAGAAGAACCATGCTCCTTTTCATTAGCACTTTCTGATACTAAGAGTATTAAAATTCTTAAAATAGTGAATTCATCAAAGTTACCAAGCATGACAGGGCTGCAAATCCACTACTACTAAGAATTCTAGGCTGGGTGCAGTGGCTCAAGTCTGTAATTTCAGTACTTTGGGAGGTTGAAGCGAGAGGATTGCCTGAGCCTGCAGGTTTGAGACTAGCCTGGGCAACGTGGTGAGACCTCATCAACCCTGGGTTGGCTGTGAGTGTGTTACTGCACTACAGCCTGGGCAATGGAGTGAGAGTCCAACTCAAAAAAAAGAAAAAAAAGAATTCTAGTATGTCTTACGTGGTGTGACAGTTAAGTTCACAAACTCACCACTGTGTGCTTACATTGGCAGCACTGTACAAACAACTTGATAAGGTTTCATAATCTTGGTATAACAGTGTCTCACAGAGCTGTGTTTGTATTGACATGTGGCAGTGTCTTGCTGAGTGGTGTTCATATTGTTGTATGCTTTTGTGTGCTGTTGCAAGAACATTGAGGCTTGAATTAGAGCAATGAATTAACATTAAATTTCTTGTTAAACTTGGAAAGAGTGGAAGTGAAATCAAGGACATGTTAGTTCAAGTTTATGGGGATAATGTCTTGAAGAAAGTGGCAATGTACAAATGGATTAAACGTTTTTCTGAAAGGAGAGAAAGTGTCACTGATGAAGAGTAGTCGAGATGGCCAGTAATGAGCAGAACTGACAAGAACATTGCAAAAATTCATCGAATTGTGCTCCAAATCATCGACTGACTGTGAGAAGCATAGCAGACAAACATCGATAGAGAAACAGTTAGGAAAATCTTAACTGAAAATCTTGGCATGAGAAAGTGTGTGCAAAAATGATCCCCAAAGAACTCTTGCATCACAATGCACCAGCTCACACAGC